CTGAGGACAAGGGGAGATTTTTAACCGGTCTTTACTTGCAAGGGTAGATAGTCATAAAAAGGCCTTCACAGATGTACAAAGTTAGATTAGAGCCTCGTCAGTGAGAATCTGCGCCGGGCAGTGAGGCAGGAAGTGTTTTTATAATCCTTACCAGACAGAGGCAGGTCAAGACGACCTCAGCTTCACACACTTGGAGCCGTCCTTGGAGTTCCTGCAGGCTCCTCTCTGAGAGAAAAAAGCTCGACAGTAAACAACTGTGTCGTCGGCATAGAAATGTAGACATAGCAATGTGTACATTACTTATGTAGATTGTGAAGAGGGTGGGTCCTAAGACTGAACCCTGTGGTACACCATTGTTAACAGTTTTAGATACTTGGAAGAATTACTCTTTTGTTTTGTTTTGAAGTTTTTTTGAATGTCCAGAGGACCAGACTTAACATTTTTAGATTTTTCTACCTGGATTATTGAGCACGCATCAGGAAATGGAAGAAGTACCGTTATGTTGAACACATTGCCTCCGATCTGAGAGATAATTGGAGAACCAGCCAATAGTGTGATCCGAGAAGCCAATTTCTGAGCGCTTATGACAGAAGATGTCATGGTTCACAGTGTCTTTTGACACTTTATTATTTATTATTTATTTAGACAGATCTACATAAAGTGCAGCACAATAGTCCATAACATCCAGTGCTTAATGCCAAACATTAATTAAACATTAGTTAGTGACTACCATTCATAAACCTTTACCTAAATTCCCTTGACATGAATGTTGATGACCACTAAACAGAGAGCTTCTCTTTACAGCTCAGCTCCCTTTTCACCACAACAGACCGGCACAGAGTCCACAATACTGCAGAAGCTGTGCCGATCCGTCTGTTGATCTCACGCTCCATTCTTCCCTCACTGTTAGTAAAAACCTCTGAGATACTTGAACTCCTCCACTTGAGGCAAAGCACTGAAAATGTGAAGTTTCGTTTCACAGGGAGCAGCGTTTAGAGACACAAAACTAATCTTTGAGCAGATGAATTTATCGTTCTTTTTCTGTAAAACTAAGAGCTTTATTAGAGATTTATGAACGCGTCTGTAATTTTCCACTCCGAGTGTTTTCTTTGAAATAGTGAGGAAGCGTTGGGATGACTGCTGCAGACACTTTGTGAAAGTTTGTGTGTTAGATGTCGTTTGTGAATCCTTTATTATTAACGAAAATCAGAAATCAGCAGGAGGTTGTTTCCATGGCGATTTGATGACATTTATTGAACGTCGCAGTTGCTCGTTCTGTCGGCTCTGTCACGTTGAGATCAAACCTCACCAACGTTCCAGAAGATCTGAGGACCAGAATAAAAAAATAAAAATAAAATCGGAGCTGACCTTCTTGCCGTTTACAGTAAAGATGGAACCGATAGCTCAGCAGGAACTTTTATAAGCGCTGACAGGAGAATTAAAGAGGTGAGGCCTGAGAAAACAAACCCTCCAAAATAGAAGTGTTGCATCAGACGCTGATGTCAGACCTTAAGAACAGAGTCCGGTCCTGATACTCGTATGAGTAGACCCCTGGGAGGCTCCAGTTCCAGTTCTGGTCTGGTTTTTGAGACTGTCCCTTCATGTCCAGCCTTTTAAGATGCCGAGCTGCTTCAGCTTCAAAGCGAGACCTTTTTGCTGAGTCAGCATTCAGTCTTTTCCTGTTTGTTTTCACCATCGAGCCTCTTCCACAGACTTCGAGCTGTTTTAACATAAATCAAGATGCTCAACTGGGTCAGAACTGGGTACTGGGACTATAGTCTTCTACAAAAAATGTCCCCCTTTATCAAAATTTCCCCAGTTCCTTCAGGAATGTTAGAAATCATCTTCAGGTTGATTCCAGCTGTCAAATATATTTTGGCTTATTTCATTTTAGATTTTAGCTGTGGTTTTGCTCATTTTAGTTTGGCTACTGTTCTGTTGATTTTAGGTCTAAGTTTTGATTTAGTTGATTTTAGCTTTTAGCTACAATTTTACTGTTTTTTTTTTTTTTTTTACTGTTCTGGTAATTTAAGCCACTGTTCTGTGCATCAGAGATTTTAGCTCCTACTTGGATCGTTTAGGCTTTTAGCTACAGTTTAATATATTCACTAATGCTCTGCTAATTAGGTATTCTAACTATTTTTTTGTACACTTTACATTTTAGCCACTGCATTTGGTATTTTTAGCTTTTGGCTACTGTTCTGATTCTTTCAACTTTTAGACAAAAGTTTAGCAAATGTGATATTTTTACTTCTGCTTTTTCTCATTTGATGGATGGCACTGCTGGTTTTAGCTCGTGTTTTACTTGTTTTATCTTGTGTACTGTTCATTTAAGCTTATGTTCTGATAGTTTTATCTTCCTTGATCACTTTAGCCTGTGTTCTGATTATTTCAGCTTGTGTTTTGTTTGTTTTAGCTTATGTTCTGATTGTTTTATCTTGTGTTCTGGTCGTTGTAGCTTGTGTTGTGATCATTTTAGCCGTTTTTACCCTTTTAGGTTGTGTGTGATAATTTTTTTGTGTGTTTTGATCATTTTAGCGTGTTTTTTTTTTACCCTTTTTGCTCATGTTTTGGTTGTTTTAGCTTGAGTTCTGACTGTTTTGGTTTGTGTCCTGGTTGTTTTAATGTGTGTTCTGATATATGTATTTATTTATTAATAATTTTAGCTTGTGTTCTGATTATTTCAGCTTGTGTTTTTCTGGTTTTAGTTTGTGCACTGCTCATTTAAGCTTGTTCTGATCGTTGTAGCTTATGTTCTGCTTGTTTGAGCATCTGTTTCAATACTTTTAGCTTCTTGAACAAATGTCAGCGCTCAGTATTCTCTCTGCATTTTTACAGGGAACTCTAACTTTTCCAGTTCGTAGCTGCAGCGAGGGCACAGACCTGTGAAATTATTAAAATAAATGGTTCGGATGTGAACGTTGCCAAAACTACATTATCAGAGCGCAAGCTTCAGCTTGTCTGGCATAAATTTATGCCTAATCTGCTTCAGACATCCTTCAGCTTCTAAAGTGACCCACATTTGGGATCCTGGAACTTTGATGTACTTAACCTGTTAAGCACATTTGTCTCTCGGCGGCCTAAATTTACAGCTCTATTATTCCTCACCATCTCTGAAGACGTCACTCACTCTTTAATCTCAGCCTCTGTCTGTGCGAGCCGGGCTCGTTCACACTTTACCCTGTTTCCCTTGTTGAAACCCAGCATGCCCTTCAGCCGGACGCCGCCTCTGCAGAACGCCTGAACGGGTTTTTACCGCCTGGATTCTTGTCAACTTGTGTCGCTGATTTTAAACAGTTTGACAAAAACTACAGTCTCTTTTTGAGCAGTTGCTGCCCAGAGATGATGATGATTTTGCTCATGTACGTTTGCTTAGCGTTAGCAAAATATCTCATGAAGAAGAAGGAGAGAACTCCTCGATATAAACGTTAAATTGTTGACTCTTTAAGGTTTGAAGTCAATCCAGTTCAAAATGGCTGCCACAGCTAATCTACTCTAGCCAACTCGTGCATGGTCGTAACTTAACTTCTGCAACCTTTTAAACAGAAAGAGCCATTTCTGCCCTTTCACTCACTAAAAATGTGTCCGGAGCTGCAAAACCTGCTAAAAGTGTTGTCAACTGGTGGTTCATGGGCCACTTCAAGTTTGTCAGAGGGTGGTTCTTCTGGCCTGTTAGTGGGACGTTATAAAATAAATAATATACAATGAATTGTAACGTTTATTGATGTTTTTTTACATTTTAGGACAAAAGAAAAGCGAATCTTACCAAAAGAAGGCAAATACCAGTTTTTACCAGTTTTGACAAGGATTAAAACGCTGAACTCCGCAGGCAAATATGAGCCAATTTATTTTTAAGAAATTAATTATCTCTCTTTGACTAAAACATAAGTTTAAAATAAGTACAAAACAATTAGGCCATTTTGTTGGATATGTAGTTGTGACATGTTGAGTTTTTAAATTAAAACCAAAAGCTTGCGTTTACTTTGACTTTAATTATTATTATTATTATTATTATTATTATTATTTAAATCCAACTGACTCACCAATGTTCTTCTAAGCAACTTTTCTTAAAACGATTCCAAACACTTTCTGGTGGATCTAAGAGACAGATCCCACTGCGAGGCTGGGAGTTGTATGTTTGTCCGTTTTGTATCTTTCACACACGCTTGCAGAAAATTTACAGGAAAACTGCTAAAGCTAGCCTTTTCTGTTGTGGGTACAAAAAACAATAAAATTAAATTTCATGTTATCCTGATGCGAGCAGCACGGTGGCGCAACTGGTAGAGCTGCTGCCTCTCAGCGAGCAGGTCCCTGGTTCAAACCCCGGTCCAGGGGCCTTTCTGGGTCGAGTTTGCATGTTCTCTCCGTGCATGCGTGGGTTTTCTCCGGGTACTCCGGTTTCCTCCCACAGTCCAAAAACATGCATGTTAGGCTGATTGGTAACTCTAAATTGTCCCTAGGTGTGAGTGAGAGAGTGAATGGTTGTTTGTCTCGTTTGTCTCTATGTGTCCCTGTGATGGACTTGCGACCCGTCCAGGGTGTACCCCGCCCCTCGCACTGTGATTGCTGGACATGGGCACCAGCGACCCCCGTGACCCAAAATGGAACAAGCGGGTAAAGAAAATGGATGGATGGATGGATGGTTATCCTGATGCATGCTCAAATTTCATGTTAGTTTTCGTCAAAGAGCCAAAGACCAACAGGTTGAAGCCCCCTGCTTTTTATTTATTGATTTTACAAATATTAGTTTATTTCTGTTTATTGTGATTGATGACATGCATCAATCTACATAAGACTGGTAAACATTTGCCCTGAGATATGTACAGGAATGATTATTAGTGGTTAATATTAATAATGAGTTGTTTCCCTTGAGGGTTCAGATCACACGATGCTGCTCTTTTAACAGTCTTGGTTTATTTTAAAGCTGTGCTGCTGGTGTTGTGTGACGTGAAATAATGAGGATGTGCTAATTAATTTGCATAAATGTTCTTTAATTGCAGAAGCCGAGGGCGACAAGGCTGCAGCGCCCCCTGCTGGTGAGCATCTTCAGGACACCTAATTGACTTTTTCCTCCTGAATTTATGACCAAACATCTGATGCATTTTCTCATTTCTCTCATTTTCAGAGAAAACGGGTAAGGAAACCTGACCAGACATCTTTATTGTTCTCATCTGCATCACCCTCAGGGTCAAACTAAGTGTTTTCTCTTCGATCGTTCAGAGGAGTCATCAGATGAGGAGGGTAAGACTGAACGAATGACACAAAAACACAGAAGCCGTGCACTTCTGTGGTGATGGGGCTGAGCGTGGAGCTGCATGAGCCCCACTCATGAACGCATCCTACACTCACACAGGAACAGCAGATACTCTCCATTGTTCCTCAGTACTTTATTTTATTTTTATCGACTTATTTTTAGCACCGCATATTTAAATCAGCGGTTAAATTCAGGAGCCGAGCAGGAGGTGTTTAATTTATGGACGAGCCTCTCGCTGCATGTGCAGGAATATGAACTGCAAGAGGAGACATTTACTATTTTAGTCGTGCAATATTTCATTTGACTAATAATGAATATAAATTATTCCTTCGTGCTTCTACTGCCGTCATAAAATAACACGAGCACACAATGTTTAATTATATAACAAATATGTGTCCATCATATAACGGAGCATATTGAATAAATACTTAGGTTTTCACAGTTGGTCGTAATCTGGAATTATGTGTTTAAAGGGACATCGAGCTCCTCGCAGTCTTCTGTCCAGTCGAGTATTGTGGACCGCTGTTTGTCTGGCCTGTCTCCCAGGACCAGTCTGACCAGCCTGTCCTGGTCCTGGAGGGCCACTATCCTGCATGTTTAGCAGGTCTTCATTGAACCAGGCAAGCTGAAGCAGAAACATGTAACGTCTGCAGGTTGGTGTTCCTCCAGGACCATGACTGGGCTCCCCCAGCATGGCTCCGAGGATCATTCAGGATCACAGATTCCTCCTCCGTCATGAAATGGTGATTTACACATGAGGAGAAATCTGACCTCTATTTTTGTTTTCTCGTTGGAAAGGTCAGCTGACGGTGACCCCAAAGTTCACCAGGACAAAGAAGACTTTAGTTGTTGTCAGTAAAATACTTTATTCAACTGAGAAATTCCCGTTCATCCATTCTGGTCAGCAAAAAGACGAATGACTAGCTAAAAGTAGCCAAAAGCTAGGCAAAAGCAAACATTTAGCTTTAAACTAAAGTGAACAAAAGACTAGCAAAATGATAAATCAGCATAAAAAAAAGCTAGAAGCCAAAAGTAGCTAAAGGCTGAAAACAAAAGGCTAATTCATTCAACCTTTATTTATTCAGGTTAATCCCGTTGAGCCTCGGGGACTCATTTAAAAGAGAGACCTGATTCTAACAAAAAGTGATGCCAACAGTGGACAACAACAGATGATCATAAAGGATGAGTAGAAATTGAGATTTTTTTTTTACAGGTGAAAATAAAATGGTATTTAAAAGAAAATGTAACAAAAAAAATCAACAGCTAAAGCTAATGAAAATAAATACCTCATTTATTTATCTCATTCGTAGCTCAGCAGCTAAAAGCTTAAAGCAACATGTTAGCTAAAAGTTTAAAGTACTAAAAGGATAACTAAAAGCTAAAATAAATAAAAAAACTAACAGAAAGCCTAAAGTAGCAAAATGGTGGCTCAATAACTGTAGCAACAGCCTAGCTAAAAGCTAAATGTAGTTAAATGTAACCATCCATCATCTTTTACCCACTTCTTCCTGTTCGGGTCAGTCACCGGTGCCCATATCCAGCGGTCACTGTGCGAGAGGCGGGGGACATCCTGGACAGGTCTCCAGTCCATCACAGGGACACATAGAGACAAATGAGACAAACAACCATTCACTCTCTCTCTCACCTAGGGACAATTTAGAGTTACCAATCAGCCTAACATGCATGTTTTTGGTCTGTGGGAGGAAACTGGAGTACCCGGAGAAAACCCACGCATGCACGGAGAGAACATGCAAACTCCACCCTGAAGGGCCCACCGGCTGGGATTTGAACAACCTTCTAACTGAAAGGCAACAGCTTTACCACCTGCGCCACCGTGCCGCCCATTAAATGTAATTAGAAGCTAAAAATGTCAAAATGTCAGAAAAAGATAAAAAGCCCCCAAAAATGTGAACTACTGTAACTAGAAAGAAAAAGTAGCAAAATGCATTTTTTTTAAAGTATGGAAGACAAAAATAATCGTTGGAATGCTGACTCGGCGTACACAGAATGTGACCGAGTGATTAAAAGAGCGTGCACGTGAGGGATGACGAGCCAGAACTTCATTTGGATTTATATCCTGAAAGCAGAAAAGGTCTCGGAGCTGAAGAAGCCTGCACAGAGCTGTCACCGACACACTGGAGCTTCTTCACGGCTCGGATCTTAAACTACTAAAGTCCCC